CCGATACCCTCATCGCCTTGGCAGCTCCTGACTATTTTATCCATGTACAACACAAACAGGATAGGGGACAGGACGCACCCTTGGCTGAGACCAGTGCGAACGCTGAATGGTTTCGACTTAGCGCCATTAACTGCGGCACAGCACCTGCTATCAGAATATAGTGATCCGATTGCCCATAGCAACTGGCTATCCATCCCGTATGTTTGCAGGCATGCCAACAGACTCTTGCACGAGATCTGGCGATAGACTTTATCTAGATCAACAAAACTCATACACCGGATGGACGAACTACCAAGATTTTTCAAAAATATCGTAGGGCGAATATCCGATCAGGTGCGCCTCTCTTCCGATGGGCGAGACCGGAAGTCACATTACGTTTCTTGTATCGTAGAGTCAGTTATTCCGCGGCACTTTCCTTCCAACACCTGTGTGAAGACTTCCCAGGAGGGTCAACAGGTTAATGCCCGTTCATTACAGTACTCTCAATGTTCTCCCTTCTTGAAGAGGGGTACTACAACACCCGTTTACCAACCTGTTGGTGTCCTCTCGGTAGCCACTGCAGTTTGACAGACACCTGTTACTCACAACACGCCTTGTTTACCTAAACCATTAAACATTTAAGAGCGGATTTGATCGATTTTAGCAGTCTTGCCACATTTCAAGCGTTTTACAGCTTTTGTGACTTCACCTACTGGAAGACTAATGTCCGTTGCCTGATTCTCTTCAGGCATGACATTCTGCGGTTTCTCTTAGTTAAGAAGTTTCTCAAAGTACTCTCTCCATGGCCGATGTAAGTAGTCGTCTTTGGTAGGAGGTCGTCCGGACATGTCCTTCAGGACTCTTGACTTACCTTATTTTCATGCCGGAGGCGGCGAATAATATGCTATAATGCCTTGTTTATTGTCTAGAAATTCGACTCCAGCACTATCTCTAACTTTTTCCAGGAATCACATTTCGCTTCAGCCTCAGCTTTTGCTGCCGTCCTGCACGCTTCTTCGCACCGTATTCGAACTGAAGTTTTGTTGCTTCCAAGCCGTCTCTTAAATGTAGCGTTTTCTCCGCTGACAGCCAGATGAACCTCGTGTCCAACAGGAAGTTGTTTTCTGACCTCCAGGCGGCAGGCCAACCTGTTTAAATCCGCAGCATTAGTCATTCCGCTCTTAAAGAGCTGCCACTCGGTTTCAATATCAGTTGTCATCACCGGGATCTGTTCAAACCGTCGTGCGATGTTGCTTGCAGATTTGGTTCTCACGTCCACCGAAGATAATATTTCGCATTTGATTGTCTGGTTGCTTTTGCCTCCAGATCTTCGTATGGTACTCCATTTTTTACAGCGCAGCGTGCCAGCAAAAAGGAGGTGATCTGTTGGAACTGAACAGTCTTGCGATGCTGTTTGCAAGTTTCGCTCTCGTTTACGCAAAAGGTAATGTTTTTCATTTAATATTCTCTTCGCCCCTGCTGTCAGTTCGTCGCATAGTACTGCATCGTTTACTGCAGAGGAATCCGACACCAAGTTGATGATCGATTGACAGCTCTGCACTTTTCCTAACGCGAACATCCATTAGAGAGCGTCGCAAGTCAGACGATACGCTTATCAAATCGACAACCTGATCATCATTTCTAAGTCAAATTACTGATGCATGCTAACATACTCAAGAAAAGTTTTCATCAAAGACAGTTTGTTGTTTGCACAAAATCGGAACAACTTCATGACGTTATGATTGAAATGGGTAGGACCGTCCCTTCCAGTCATGTCCTTCCAATTTTCAGTGTCTCCTCACCAGAATGATAGATTGCGCGGTCGGCACTTTCCACAAAGCATCTTCTACTTCCTCCAGGAAGAACTCATATTATGCCCCTACTTTGGTCGCAAGACATGTAACAAGATAAAAGCTGTAGCCTGTTATAACCTCGATTGGATGATTACTACTATTCAGCTGACAGGTTTCAATTCAATCATTCTGTCGCCCAGGTTGGATTCTACTAAAAAGCAACACCAATCTGAGCAGACGTCGTTTATCCTGTAACTTATAGATGGATTCAGCGAACAGACGCACTGTACTACGGTGTTTCGGTCAGAGTTAAACAGCCTCTATGTAATTTAAAATGACAAAGAACAAAAAAAATTAACAAATCTGTTCTTGTGCCACAGTACACATCTATTTACCGATTCTTGAAAGATCTTCTGATAAAGGACTTATTCGAGTCACTCTTTGAATGAGGGCAAACATTAGACAGCAACGTTTGTAACAGCATTAGAGCAGCTCTGTTGGCTAAAGAGTTGAATGGTAGAAAAAGTACCATATACATTATGGAGAAAGAAAGCACAAACCCGAACGGTGTTAAAATAGAAACGTAGCGTGGTAATGTATGCATTTCTTGGAATGCAAGACAAAACATTTCCTTCTCGTGGAAAATTCTGCCAAAGAGTTAGGACGCTGTAATCACCAGCCGTTAAGATGATACACGTACTGCAACTGGTTAAATAATGTAGATCTTCTTCGAGACAAGATTTCGCGGCATGTCGCATCGTCCCGTTGCTTAGAGATGTCAGTGAAGCAGGCCACGGTTCCATAGTCCCACTAGGCAAGTAGGAGCAATGGAGCAGTGAAATACGCCGCAAATGCTGGCCTTGAAGGAGTAATGAGTTATCTGAAACACTATGTGAGAGCATACTGTGATGCGTATGCAGTGTAGCTGGATCCCTCAATCAGTGTTCTTCTATTCAGTAGTTTCTTTGAAACAGGTAAAAATAGACTGAAAAAAACTGAATTTGTAGCAAATAAGAAATTAACGGTTGTTAGTAGGTAATCATGAAAAATTCCCCTAAATTTTTTATTTCTGCAACGTCTTGTGGCTGTTGCCTCGATATCAAGTGTGAAACTTGCATTAATAAGTAGTAACCTAACTTAAAGCATACACAGTAATTTTAGAAAATTGAACTCGATATTTGTAACGTGCATATCTCCTGAAGCCTGTCAGTTGCATGTTCATTATTGTTTCGGCCCGTGTCTGACAGGTCGAAACTCGGTATTGGTCAGTCACCGATATGAAAGTATGATCTTTTGCATTGTGGATTATTAAACGTGCTTTATGCAATTTCTTCATTATGACTACCAACGCACAAACGAGATATTCTATCGTTCCTCTTCAAATTATTTTTATGAAGCAATTTAACTGTTTGATTCAATTTTACACTACAGTTACCATTGAATAAACAAATTGATATCGGTGTTGAATCCGCTGCTACTGCTGTGGTTTCACCCTGTCTGAGAAAAGCAGCTACAAGG